TCCTAGACGCCAGACACATCATTGTCTGTTTTTATTCATTTTGAATACTCACATTTTCTAATTTCTACTGGTACATACAAAACAAATATAGGAATAATTTAATGGGGTTACAAATCCCATATCACATATTTTCTAGTTCTAGATTCATATTCATAAGTTAACTATTGTATACACTCCCACGGCAATTTAGAGTAATGCATTTATGAATAAAGAATACACATAAGTTAGCTGGTCTGCAAATAGTACACACAAATTCAATCGAATTATATTATTAAGTATATTTATTTTTTTTAGTGTGAAAGCTGCACCAGTGTGGATCATACTGCACAGTGATATGTGTGTTGCGTGTGTGTGTGTGCATGCGCCCGGACCTGTATCTTAGACATTCCGGGACTGATTAAATTCAAACTTCACACATACACAATAAATAATATTATATATATGCACATCAATTTGTTTCACAATCCGATTCAAAATGGCCGATTGGCGGCCATTTTTTGTGCAGAAAAATATTTGAAAACACGCATTTCTGGCATTCCATACCCGGATCTCAGATGTTTACATATGGCGACCATTTTGTTTCAATGAATAAGGTCCTAGTGGCATGTTGTTGACATGCTTCGACTGATTATGTTAAAGTTGTATATATTCATTATACATCATATCATAGATATACATGGTTTCATGATCCGATTCAAAATGGCCGAATGGTGGCCATTTTGTGGCTAAAACTTCATCAGAAAATCAAGCATTTCTGGCATTCCAGAACCGGATCTTGATCTTTCATGTATGGCTTGTATTAATCAGATTGTTATTGTTTTCATGCCAAACCTGTGTCAAATACAAGTGGTTTATGAAATAATACTTTATTGTAGCAAGATACAACATAGAAATTTGTTTTAAAATTACGGTATTGTAGAAAGAAAAATACCTATTTAGAAACATTTTGGTCTCAGATGATGCTCAATTACGTACACCACACTGTTGTCTTATTTGCTGTCCACATAGATACAAAACCGTGACATATTTTGTCAGCTACTATTGTGAATCAGGCTATGCACCTTGCCCAAGACTGAGTAGCTTTAATCAAGGTGCAACAGAGTAGGGGGATATAGTTATTCCTTAGTTATTGAATACGTTGGCCCACATCAACATCAGCAGGTGGATCCTCCAGCGATTGGGCCACCGGGTTGTCTGCTGGAGATTTCTGGGGAAAAAACACCCATGTATTAGAGTGTTATGCATTGAATTAATTATGAGCAAATGAAAAAGCACTTTTGTATTTATGTAAATAACATATGTTCAGCATTGTGCAGTTGCACCTATTGCTGACCTTTTTAATGTTATCGTTTTTTTTGTGGTATGAGTTCGAAACACTCATTCAGGCTGTCGCCCTTGTGCATTTTACTTAAAGGGGAAGTCAAGCCAAACAACACTATGACCCCCCAAGAAAAAGCTCCACAAATGTAGTAGAATGCAATTTACAGTTTTTTTATATCACTTTTCATTCTCTAGATATTCAACATTTCATCAGTATTATGTAGTCAGCCATCTTGATTTTCAAGCAAAGGATCATGGGTAAAGTATGGCATCACAGAGTCTGTTGTCAGAAATTGAGAAAATGATTTCATCTATAACATGGGGAATACTGATGCGAATTAGTTCAAATTTTCGTTATGCATATAACTCTTGTATATGATTATAGTAATGTAAATTAGAATGTTACAAATACACATAAAGTGAAGATATTGCCAAAAACGTTAAAAAAATAAAAATCGTTATTTTTGTTGTGAAATATAGAATGACACTTTTTTGTCCACTTTTTATGGTCAACAAGTAATATATCACCTATATAACCTACTTACAACGGTAAATTGTATACAATATAAGGAAATTTGAGCATTTGGTAGAAAAACATAAAAATAAATATTTTCAGTTCTGTTTCCATGACAACTATTTTATAAGCATGTTTGGCACCAGTACATGTATGCTACCCTGTTTTAAACTTTCAGCCAATTTAAAGTTCAACTTTTGAAGTTATAAATGACAACAGACTCTATGATGTCATACTTTACCCATAATCCTTTGCTGAAGAATCAAGATGGCGGTCTACATAAATTGATGAAAAATTGAATATCTAGAGAATGAGAAGTGATATAAAAAAAACTGTAAATTGTATCAGGGGTAAAATCTTTCTCTCTCTGGGTTCTCCACACTTGCCAGGGGGAAAACTCGTCTCGTCTCTATATCTCGTCCCCTTGAGGTATGGGATCGGGAAGTCACTTATACTTTACAGTCAAATAAGGCACACACAACGAAATACGTTTTAGCTCTCGTCTTAGTCGGTTAATCGAGCACTCTATAAGACACAGCGCCCTGAGGAAAAGTCCCCAAGACTCTCACAAGGCTGAACCAAGACTCGCCCAAGACTGGACTGCGTCAAGGCTCGCCCCAAGACTCTTTTAGACTGGACTCGACTGCACTCTCTCTACTGCGTCTCTCGACCGCGTCTATCGTGCTGTGCTCCCCAAGACCAACTCAAAACTCTCTTTATTCATTTTCAAAACTCTAACCAATTACAAAACAGTAAAAGACTCTAGGGCGTAACCTTCAATCATAAAGCCAATCACACTAAGTACTGAATACGTCATATCTTTTGATAAATCGTTCACTACATTAATAACTATGGATATAAACTGTCAGAATGAGTAGTCTAAAAAGCGGCGGTTATCTGGTAATTAGTTCCAAATCACTGAGCCAAGTTCCGTCCAAAACTTCAAATAGACCTAAACGATGACAGACATAACACAGCAATTCAGCTAATAATCAACTAATTAAGTCGGTTAACAGATACGCGAAAACAAATTCATGACAATTGCATGTCCTTACATTTGCCGAGCTCTTCCATCAAGGAGTATTATGTTGTTAGCCTTGACTTTCACTTTAACTTACCAATTACGTTTTGTTTAGACTAGTTCAAAATCAAATTGTCTTTCACTATTATATTGTTATGTAGCTAATTATAATAGTTCGGCATGTAGAAATGTAAAGCTCCTAATGATCTCTTGCATGTAACTGTTAAGTAAGCGTTAACGTCTTAGTAGTCATCATCTTGTACGGAACCCTCAAATACTGTAAGATGTTCCAGCTATGTTTTACTTAGATAGGAATACTTCACTTCTGGGACATTCCAATTGATACTAGTGTTATGCTGGCTTAATATTTTTCCTGTGTCAATAGTAAAGTCTATGTTTGTACTTCTTGAACAAAGTACCAAAAGCTGTAAATTGTATCACTTTAACACACAATTTCTACTCATTGTATACATAATAAATTACCAGCGGTTGCTAATAATAGTCCAATCATAGGCCGACAATCGTCAGAATCGTTATGATGTAGTGGCATTCAATCAATTAATGTCAACAAGTTAGTAATTCCCCGTAGGCTAGTTACTACTACCACTACCCCGATTATGGATGATACTTTACTCCTCGGTCTTGGTAATGTAATCCCCACAGTCCCATGTTTTTCTTTCTTAAAACTGACTTGAAATGAATAAATCAAACTTCCAACAGTCGAGCATCATTCCCGTTACTCACAATCACAGCATAAAGGACTTTTTCAGTCACCCAAGTATAACTCTCTTTCCGAGTATCGGCACGTTACTAGTCAAGAATGTATCAGTCTAACACACAAACTTACACTTATATTATATACTTTTACCTGTAGTTGCTAAGAATAGCCCAATCATTACTCATGCCTTTTTACTTAATCTATGATTTAATATTTCATAACACTTAATAGGATAGACCAGTCAAATATTACGACATTCCGTCGAAACTTTTAACTGTAGCTTAGAGAGGATATGACGCACCACTCACTAATCAAATTCTACAAGTCAATGTCGCTGGTACTGTGTGTCTACTGTTTACACAACACACGTACTACAAAGAATGACCAGCATCCGTCTTGGCTTTCATTTATAATAAGCGAGCAAACCTGTGTTCACGTAGTCAGATTACACAATGTAATGACACTTCACTTGACCAGTTGTGCTGTTGATAGTCTTGTGTTCCACCTAAATTAATTTAACTAGCACCACAATGCACTTGATTCCGATACATTATACTCTACATTAGACATTGAATCCATGCAGAGACCAGTTCGTATATCTGCCACAAACAAATGATTACATTTTAAATAAACACACGTATTACGTTTGCAGTGACCTGTTATATGAAATTCATGGTACAACAGTTCGTTCAGGAAGTATCATATTACTGACAGCATACTACATGTTTAATGTACTGATTGGTTGCATTATCAGGGGGAAATTCTCTTCTCTCTGGGTTCTTTACACTTGCCAGGGGGGAATCTCGTCTCGTCTCTATATCTCGTCCCCTTGAGGTACGGGATCGGGAATGTCACTTTAACTTTACAGTCAAATAAGACACACACAACGAAATACGTTTCAGCTCTCGTCTTAGTCGGTCAATCGAGCACTCTATCAGACACAGCGCCCTGGGGAAAAAGTCCCCAAGACTATCCAAGGCTGAACCAAGACTTGCCCAAGACTGGACTGCCTCAAGGCTCGCCCCTGGACTGGACTTTCGACTGCGTCTGTCGTGGAGTATTCGCCAAGACCAACTCAAACTCTCTTTATTCATTTTCAAAACTCTAACCAATTACAAAGCAGTAAAAAGACTCTAGGGCGTAACCTTCAATCATAAAGCCAATCACACTAAGTACTGAATACGTCATATCTTTTGATTAATCGTTCACTACATTAATAACTATGGATACCAACTGTCAGAATCGCGACGGTTATCTGGTAATTAGTTCCAAATCACTGAGCCAAGTTCCGTCCAAAACTTCAAATAGGCCTGAACGATGACAGACATAACACAGCAATTCAGCTAATAATCAGCTAATTGAGTCGGTCAACAGATACGCAAAAACAAATTCATGACAGCATGCACATATAGAGAGACAGTGTTATCTCATAATTTGCTTGATGATTTTAAATTATTTTGGAAAAACTGAAGAATATGTTTCCAGCTGTCTTCTTGTGCTCTTGCATGTGGCTTGGGTCTCCCTCCACACATTACGTTTATATCTTGTGATATAAAAAAAAGACAATTGAAGTTATTAGTAAACTAAATAAATATTTTGAATAGTATAGTGTTGGTAAATTTATTTATACATCGATAGTAATCTATTAATCAAACCATATGCATGGAAAGTATCAATCAATCTGGCAATATCAGACATAACCAAAAAATGAACATATATTAATGACATTTACCAACATACAAATATTCTAGCATTCATTATACTATTAAATATGATGTATAGTCATTGTAAAATTGAAAGTTTCAGATTAAACACACATAACACACAATAATACACTCTTATGAACTAGTATGTGACACTTTGCAAAATAAACATTTTAGCATGACGTAGCAGGCACCATAGAATCGATTCATAGTTCTGCCACAAATTGAATATCCAGTAGATAATATTCTGATACAATCAAACAAACAAACAAACAAACAAACAAGTCATTCACTTCGGAACCTTCGATCAGTGCACAACCCGAAATTTTCGTACGTACGGTCAGGGAAATATGTTCATGAATATGTTACACTGGAAATGTCACACACATCAAGACATTTAAAAAACAAAACAAGATGTGATGTACATTATCTTTTTCCCTGTCCTTGGGTATAACATTAAGGACAAACGTAAAGAAAAGACCCCCTTTAACAGCTGCAGAAACCTAAAATTCAGTCTTCAAAAATACTCAAATTACCTAATCAAAATTGTGAATGAATGAAGGTATGTAGTTTGTATTATGTATGTTAAAAATTGTAGAACTTGAAAGGTTGAAAGGTAGATGGTATGAGATTTTAAAGTGGCTGAGCCAATCATTACTCACCATGATGCTCTGCTTCATTTTACATTTCTGTAAATTGTGCACATTGTGTGAATGTATATACCCTAGTGCTACAAAACACAACGTTTTGTTTTTGTTTTTGTGCACTCGGGCATGGTCAATTTAATACGATGGCCTTGTAATAAGATGATACTCACTTTTAAACCAACAGGGGAACAAACCACTAAATGGCGTATTTGGTGGTTGAACAAGATGGCCAGCTCCTGGATAGTATAAGTAGCGATAATTGGACTTGTTAAGTGATCTAATTTGTTTGATTGCTTCTTCTGCATAAAATGGAGTTTTACAAAGCAGGTCATCTCCAACAGCAATCCACAACATCTCTGCTTTCACTCTGCTGAACTGAAAAGTAGTGAGAAAGTGGGAGACGTAGGGACAGAGCAGGCAGGTAATGTTTGATCTTAATCATATGTAATGCAATGAAGCCATTAAATTTCATTGGAAACACACATTGTATTAGCCAAACTTGGTGCTTGGTCGTTTTGATTTAAATATTAAATTGATTACAAATATTCTTACATCAAAAACAGCTTCATCAACAGGATCATCCACGATTTCCAAACAACATGCATTGTCATCTATAATGACGAGTTTACTGTTGTCATATCTGTTATAAAGTAATCAAACAACATATATAGCGTTAATTGTGAATTTCAGCGGTTTTCCGGAAGTAGACGACTATTAAAGGAAGACAAAGCTCTGTTTTTTTGGTTTTTTTTCGAGTTCACAATTGATATACATAACTATTACATTTTATAATGTAATATATATAACATTTTAGTTGTATCAGTGTTTTTGTGTTATTTACTTCTCCCCTTCACAACACGACAATGACAATAACAAAATACATACCCAGTATATGGCAGTGTTTGACCTCTATATTTCATTGCACTGCCTGTATGCATATGCGCCCCATTTATACTGACCACTGCATTTACCTTATATTCGGGTTCAAGAATATGCAATATTAATATACAGTAATAATAGTAATACATTTTGTATTTTTTCACACAAACATATTATTAATTGGTCTATTGTACATATTAATTGTCTCTAGTTTCTGAAATAATCAGAAAATCCATAATAGGTGCAAACACAACATATTTACAGTTCAAATTATTCATCAATTACATCTAGTGTGCATGCTTATTACTGATCGATCTAGCAGCTTTCGGTTGTCCGATCATTTTGTCTATTTCGTAGCGTATATATTATATAAGTAAGTGTTCAATTCACTGTGAGATCTGAATTATTTTTTGGACGAATTGATATATTTTCAGGTTTTACATTGTTGGCAGTTGATAAACTTGCATAATAAAAGTGCATAGTTTACCATAAATACGTTTGTATGCACACCATTTTAAAAGTACCCTTCCAAGTATATCTAGCACTCATATGAGTTGCTTTAATATTATAATATTTTATATGTTCCATACATTCGAATACTATTGAAATATCGTTGCCAATTTGTAATATTGATGAAAATAAATGAATGGTTTGGAATCAATCTGGATGTTCCTCACACACTTTGCAATTTCAACCCTCCATCACTACTGGTAGACAAGAAAGATTCTGTTCAATGCAGTGCACATTATATATTACAATCCGCTTATTGGATTTCAAAGCATCAGTTTCTCCGCAAGCCAATCTGTGACTATGATTTTCGTAATAATGTCCACATTGTTAAAAAAATAACAAAAAATGACCAACTATGGAGAGCTTGAAAGTACATTATATATACATATAGATACACAATTATTTTAATCACTTTTTAAATATCACTTGACAAAGCAACAATTCCAGCATCCGCTGGTATGTTTATCAAAGATGAATTATTATTGTTGATGTATAATAGGTCATACTTTGTCAGGAAAATACACTGCCATTGTAACTGCAAGCTCTGCTCCTTTTGACAGACCTATTGTTCCTATGCCTCCAGTCATGACACATTCTTGACCAGTGAACCAATTGATGGATTCCTGTTGAAAAATATTATCATCTAACCCATAAATTGACGCCGATGTTTGATGCATTATTGGGAGGTATTGATGAATATAATGAATTTAACCCTTTCTTTCTAGATAAGTTAATTTATAGTTAAAGAGTTCTTGTGATATTGTGATTTTGTAACGTCTTTGGAAGTGACTGTGGATTGTAATGCCTATCTTTATCCTTGTTTGGATTAGAAAAAGTTTTCATTATCTCCTGGGACCCTTGATTTTGAAGGTTGAATTAGTTCTGGTATTATGTCCTTTATGAATTTTTGCATGTGTACATTTGTTCGTAACACAATACTTTTCTTCCATTACAGTTGGTAGCATTGTTATATCTCCACTGAATGAAAGACGGCAAATGCGACTCGTAAACAGACGCGTTCCTAATCCCCTCGTCACACTGTCATGTATGCCAGTGGCTTTAGTGTTCTAGTAAGGCAACATAACATCATCACACACGTATATATATATATATATATATATATATATATATATGGACTTAACTATATTAGCATATTATGACAATAATACAGACCTCTAATATGACTTAAGCAAGGCTTTGTTTACAAACTGAAAGCGAGACTGAAAACATTTCTGTATAAAGTATCAGTTTCACACAATGACAAAATCGACCATTCATTGTCATTCAACCATACCATGGCTTATACTAAATACATAAATATGGGACAAATAACTGATCTATGAGATATAATTTAGAACTAAAAACACAAAAATTTACTTGCCTCAAAATAGTCAAGGTCAATCTCTAAAATATTGTCTGGTAAGTCCTTGTATCGACAATACCCAAGTGCCAATACAGCATAACCATAGTTAGCCAGCAAGGAAGCACGCATTTCCAAAATACCCCCGAGTGCACCATACATATCAATAATACCCGGAAATGGACCACGACCTATGGATTGAAACAAAAAATCCTCACGTTTTGGTGATAGTTTAGAACTGTTAAATTTGATTGCGAACTAAGTGCTTAGTAGTGATGCTCTGATTTTCTTGCAATTACGACATGGCTTCTGAATATAACGTCATAGATGGTGATTATAACACCATGGATATTGAGTATTATTATACCACAAGAAAGGGAAAACAACCATACTCGGTAAACGTTTTAAATGTGACATAATCAATTATCTACACCATGTCTGCTTCGTATTTGGCTTCTAAAAAAGTATTATTAACGCTGATTTTGGTAAATATTTGTAAGAATAAAATAAGTGTGAGCAGTTGAAATTCTTTGAATGAAATGTGGTCTGATATTGGGTAAAGGCAATTGGAAAACATAAAAAAACTTATAATCTGATGTTTACTAAATGGTGAGTTTGTGAGCCAGTATGTCAATTACTGTTAGTGAAAATTATTATCTAGTTCGATGACAACAGTATAATGTACCAAATGAAAGTTTTTACAAGATATCTTGACAAGATATATGCTTAACTACCCTAAAAGTGTATATATCCATTATATTTTATTTCATTTGAAGTGCAATGTGAACGAGTATGTACAATTTTTAATATTGTTTTTTGAAGAATACATTGGATTATGACTTCTTGTTTGTGATAAATCATAATTTGATTTGAATTACCAAACAACACCAACTACACTGATGTGTTTCAGGTTTCATTTTATTTTGCCTATATGAGAAACACATATTTGAATTGAAACAGTATGCTACTGATATAGTAATTGTGTACTATGTTTCATGTTATATTATATAAAGTCTTAAACTTGTTATTTAAAATTACTTACTAATCTAATCAGGTAATTGTACTATGCAAATTATATATGTGACAACTTTAAGATACGAAGGGATACAACCTAGACGCTCGATCACATTTTGGGTCTAACCGATCCATGTTGAAAAATGTTTGTCAGTTGAATGTTACCAAAACGCCAAAGAAAGCTGTTTGATATTTTTTTTAATTAATATTTATTTATTAATTGACCTTTTGGTTTGATTAATGTGCCGCGAACTCTGCCCACTTTTACTTCAAATCGTTCCATGTGTTCTTCCATGAAGACACGCAGAATGCTTGTTGTCGTTACTGGCGTTGTATCTTGCAATTCATTAATGCCCAGATATCCAGGGTATAGAGACAATTCCACGTTACTGGGTTGTGTTACATCCAACTTGACATATCTAATGCCTTTTTTCTGTCCAGGTGATAGTACCATACTCCAAAATAACCCCATTGGTTCGATACCTGCAACCGATGTATAAAATATAGCTGCTCAACAGAAATTATTGGATTTCAGACTATGGCCTAATGGGTGGATTTGCTCAGTCTTTGGTAATTCAATACAAACACACACATAATTGCATTAATATATGTTCCAAGCACTTCACTGGATTAAATTTTAATATAGTGAATTCATTTTCATTATACCTATGGTTGGATTGAAATGCGACTTTATATAGGCTTACTTAATTAACCCTAATACTATATTAATATAACTGTACCATACATACTTTCAACTCACACAGATCTACTTATCTAACATCCCTTTGTTCAGCTCATTATTTTCATCGCTAATCCTAGATTCAACATAGCTCATAGTCTTTACTAAGTGGGTTATTCCATTCTTGTACCTGATTTTCTGATTAAACTCATTGTCATGTTTGATTTAAATTAAAATTAGCCCTACAGAATATCTTGAAATTAACCAGGAGTCAGTGTATGAATTCTTCTTGTAGTTAGTTAGCTAAGGATACCATATACATGTAATCAAAAAAACAAATTTAGTTTACTGCCTCAGTAACCAGGTATGGAACATATATACGTGCATACTAAATACTAATCGTGGATTTCTTCTAGTTTTTGTTTTTGGTGTAGTGAGGTTAGTATATACACCCTTGATTCCACCTAAAATATTTGGTCCTCTGTTCAGACTTAGGTTTGGGAGTTAAGCAACTTATCTTAAGTTCATATATACACAATAATATATTTTTAAAAAGTTGATAATATAGTAAATACATGTTCTTTGTACTGTTTAGCTAACTGTAAGTTGGTTGGTTCATTAATTTTTTGTTTTTAAAAACTGTGAACTAATATTTGTTATTTAAGTTACCTATTGTGTTTTTTATTTAAAATAAAAAGTTGGCCATTATGAGATATAAAAAACCCACATGTAATAATAAAAAAGAAAAGCAAAACACATATTCCAGCAACATCATTGTGAAAACAACGTTTTCCACATTAGATGAAGGGAAAATGTAATTAGCACAGTTGTCAACATCCTTTATTTATTTTATATCATCTAAAACCCTACAAATAGAATTGTGCATGGAATCATGGGAAGAAACAGTGTGCATTGCCGTGTGATAACTGTTATA